AGTTTACTTAATATAATTTTTTATAAAATTAAATATAAAAAAATTTTACCATTGAGTTTATATATAATTTCAATATATTACCCTCTACCTTTAAATTAGACAATAATTAAAGTTGTAAAAATAACTAGTTGTACATTCTTTCTATAGTTGCTTTAATGCAACTATTAATTGGAATATATTATCAATAAAATTCTGGATTGCAAGTGCTCGCCTTAACATTAAAAAAACAAAAACAAATCAACTTAAAAATTTTACTAATATGCACAGTCCCAACTCATAAGAGCTATATATAATTTCTACTTTATAAATGCACACACTCTTTAAGTGCATTATTTCAGATTTTTTTTTATAGTTTCGACGGCATTGCATTTACAGAGTTCTGACTGTATACATTCTATGGAAGCCTAATCTATTCTGCAAAAAACGATACATACGCCAGAACAAAAAAAGGCATGTCTTCAACAAAAAGCATGTGCCACCAACCTTATTTTTTAAAAAATATCCAATATTGATTATCTATTTATTGTATTTGTTTTTTTGATTGGTTAGTGTTGACATTTGCAAATATAATATCTTGTTTTTTGACAGGATATTAAACCAAATTGTGAAAAAATTTTCGTGCTTTTTACTTTTTTATCTATCTTACTTCCAAAAATAGTCATAACTTTTCCCATGATACCAGTATAAGTCAAGAAATTTTGATTGGCCAAAATCAAAGATCAATTTCACGTTACTTGAAACCTCTTCAGACACTTTATGAGGCATTCTTCGCGCACTAACAAAAAAGGTTTTTCGCAAAATTTTGATATAAGATAAGCCTTACTTTGGTCATAACTCTAACCTAGAATAAGGTTTCATTACTTTAAAAATTCTATCGTTTTGATTAGTGTAGATCATCTGATTGGTGAACTTTCATGAGGGTGGCTTATCCCTTGATAATAACTTGTTCATGCGAGTTCGAAACTTTTAAAAAAAGTATTTATCGTTATTTTATTAGCTGTTTCGTTTAAAAAGCGAAAGACCTTAGTGTAATAGCTTTGTGTTGCGTAATTATATCTACAGAATCACTTCTTGGCAAGCAAACCTAGCATCACCCATAAAAAAAAATACCACTGACGTCTTAATTTGTTGGGGTTTAATGTATATTTTAGATCAAGAAACCCTATTATAAACAATATAAAAAATTATGTAACAGTATCGAAATAAGCAACCAATTACGATTTGAATCTTTTTTTTATTATTATTATTATAACCCCTAGATGGGGACGTCATTAATTTATGTACGATGGGTCCGAATCTTTAAAAAGGTGAGATTTATTTATTTATTTATTTTTTAATAAAAAAAACAAAAAATGTCAGACCATAACAGAAATCATAGACCTTTACTGCATTAACTGTATTCTTTGTGACTGCGTTCTTCCTATGGTACAAATAGCTTTTCTCATAAAAGTAGTTTCTTGGATGTACATTTAGTTGATAAATTAACGCGCTTCTTTTTTTAAAGACCAAGCAAGCAGCACCCACCAAGTAAATAGCCCTCCATGAAAGTATTTTTCTAGGTATACATTTAGTTGATCAAATAACGCGATCTTCATTCTCTCCCAAGACAAAGAAAACGCCAATCCTCAAGAAAGTAGTAGCAGCATCCACCAAACAAGTAGCAGCAGCATTAGCAACCACCAAACAAGTAGCAACCACCAAGCGAATAGCACCCACCAAACAAGTAGCAACCACCAAGCGAATAGCACCCACCAAACAAGTAGCAACCACCAAACGAATAGCACCCACCAAACAAGTAGCAACCACCAAACGAATAGCACCCACCAAACAAGTAGCACCCACCAAGCGAATAGTACCCACCAAACAAGTAGCACCCACCAAGCGAATAGTACCCACCAGGCGAATGGCACCCATTATAAAAGTATTTCTTTGGGTTCCCTTCAGGACAATGGTGTTTTTATACGTTTTCTTAAGAGCAATGTCGTTCTCAGGACAATGATGTGTTCTTAGGTTCCTTCTAGAGCAATTACGTTCCCAGTTCTTCCATTTGCTACTTTTGTAAGGGAAATCATTATTTGCAACTTTGTGAATAAATTTCGGAAGAATGTAAAGGGCATTCGCTGCTGGAGGACGACAAACATATTTCAAGATTTTTGTCCTCAAAATTACCAGTCCATTTCACCGTTCCTATTATTAAAAAAAAAGCCAATTAAAAAAGAAAAAAAAATACGAGTGAAAACAAGACCTAACATAAGTTGGTTGGTTAGGATTGGATAGAGCGGGGCTGGGGCTTTATCTACGGAATTTGACGGATGGACGGTAAAAAAAAAAAAAAGACCTAACATAAATGGTTGGTTAGGATTGGATAAAGCGGGGTTGGGGCTCTATCTACGAAACGGATGGACGGTAAAAAAAAAAAAAAAGACCTAACATAAATGGTTGGTTAGGATTGGATAAAGCGGGGTTGGGGCTCTATCTACGAAACGGATGGACGGTAAAAAAAAAAAAAAAGACCTAACATAAATGGTTGGTTAGGATTGGATAAAGCGGGGTTGGGGCTCTATCTACGGAACGGACGGACGGTAAAAAAAAAAAAAGACCTAACATAAATGGTTGGTTAGGATTGGATAGAGCGAGGTTGGGGCTCTATCTACGGCGTACTAATTTTTTTTTTAAAAAAAATATATTTAGGTGATGCAGTTCTTTAGCAGATAATATATATATGCTAATAAAATAAATTCTTGTATGTAAATAAATCTTTATCGCTTAATTCTAAAAACTCGATTAATCACTTTAAAGTCTAGTAATATACTCTAAAAATAAGTACCATATAAGCCCGTTTAAAAGTTTAATATCTTTAGAATGTTATTTTATAGTTCATCATCTATGTGATTTATTACTACTACAATACTTATCGTTATGCAAAAAATATAAACTACTCACGTGATAGGTTATACTGTTTATATTTTTGAAGCTTAAACCGTGAAAACTATCAATAAAACAAAGAAAACTATCAATAAAACCTTATATACATGCAATAAACCATTATTCAACATTTATTATATAGCGATAGTTTTTTTAAAAGCGATTACTATCGTTCTCAATCGTCAACAATATTGATGTATCTCTTCTGTTTTCATTGTGCATTAAAAACTTTCCTTCTCTCTCTGAAAGGTTTGTTTCTGTAGTTCCTGAAGTTAAAGCAGCACCTTATTTAATTCTAGTCAGATGCTACTTTAGTTGGCGGCTCCAGATAAATCGTGACATTATTACAAGCAAAAAGTAATATTTACAAACCACGCCTTAAAACTCTTGGAGGCTTGGATAATACGTATGAGGCTTATCAGCTAATAATCATAACAAAAAATCATAAAGGTGAGCTACAATGTAAAAGGCTTAGCATAACCGCGAATATTCAAGTCTCTTAAGCCTCTCTATTAGTTTTTAATGTTGGTTATGACACTTACGTATGTGCACATAATAGGATACTAATTTAGGATTAGTTTTTTATTATCCAGATCTCAGATAATGACCAAATCACGCCTCTGGCGTTCAAAGTTAGATTAGGAAATTGAGGTTACAGAATTTCCAAAAATTTTATAAACTAAAATTTATATCTTTATACCTAACCCTAAATTTTAATATAAACATATTTCTAAACTAAAATTTTAATATTGATACGTACGTAAAACAAATGCTCTATATAAATATAATTAGGTGCGGCTGTTGTATTAACACTGCAATATTATTAGTTTTTTCTATCAACACGAAACAAAAATTACTAAATATCGATATCAAAAAAGCAACTTTGAACTTTCTGGTACATTTATGTAACGATGATAATGAAAGGGATAAAATCGTAATGACAATAAATTTTAAAATAATTAAAACAATAAGACCCAAAAATGGGTACGTAAAAGAATATGATAGACAGATTATATAGATCTACAAGACAGCAAAATATAGCACAATAAAGAGTTTCCTTATGTAACTAATTATTAGTTTGTTTCGTAAATAGGTCACAATTTAAACCTACACAAACAAATACATGTAAGTACAGTACGTGCATATGTTACAACTCACGAAATAAAATCTTGTAATTTTTTTTTATTTTTATTAAATGTAAATGTTTTTTTGAATAAAATAAGAATGCATATTAATTTGAAAATTGCTATGTGCGTACTAAGGCAATGCCAAAATATACATGAAATTACATGAATTTTTAACCCTTAAATAATCAAAAGTAATGTATTAAAATCTGCTACTACGATCGCGTCCGGGTACAGCATTTTCTGGTCGAATGACCTCTACACTTCCATCCTCTATTACCACAGATCTATTTTTAGCTCTGTCAACAAGATAATTCTCTAAAATAATAGCATTTCGTATATTGGCTTTGTATAAGAAATCAAAGAAATCACCAGCCACAGGTATTAGCCCAAACTTTATAAAGTGCAAGTTCAAAAAGAAAGTTATTAAATGCTATTCTGGGAAAGTGAATTCGTTATATTAAACTTACCATAAAATCGATGAATACGTTAAACATCATTTGACTAATGACATATTTCGGTAAACCAATTTCTTTAGCAACACTTATTAACATTAAGGATAAAATCGTGCTCATGAAATCACCTGAAAAAAAGGTTCTGACGATTAAATACTTAATATCATTTATAGTTTTGCACATCATTCTACTCACCAATCACTGGTACTAATCCTTTTATATGAAAAAAAAATAATTATGAATTTGAAAAGAAAATTAAACATTCAATAATTAATATAATTAATAATAAATACCAATTATTGGATCCAAACCAACTTTACAACAACAACAAACACAAAATCCAACATCCAATAATTCTGCTCTTTTTTTCACTTTTTTAAGAATCCTTGCTTCTTTCTCGGTTAAACCTGGTGGTATCTTCCATTTATTTTTCCTAAAAGGTCTGCCTGTATTTGTGGGTTGATCCGTACGTTCTGTCGAATTTTGTGAATTTTGTGAATTACTACCGCCTATTAAATATTTTATCAGAGCTTTTGTAGCTTTAGTTTTAAAACTCATATTTATGAAAGAAAAGATAAATTCGCGTTTTCTGTGAAATCTGACTTTATATATTTATGTTTATTTGTGAAATATGCCCACAACCGTTACACAACCGAATTGCGGCAATTCTTCCTAAAATTATTATTGTATTATCATTTAGCATTGTTTAAATATATTTAATGCTACTACATAGTAATACACATACAATATAATCATGATATTGTATTTCTACTCACTTTTTAATTAATCAACCGTGACAAAATATTTATTTAATTAACGCCAAAGTTATGTAACTCTAATGTAATGTGGATCATAATCATTAAGATGTTTATCTTGTCGTTTATGCAGAATTCAATAAATTAATAATAAGATTTAAATAAGATTTAATAAGATTTTAATGCTGTTGGGTTTGATTGGGCATTTATTAAATAAATATTGCGCCTCATAGTTATTGAATATATTTATGAGTACATAATGTAAAATAATATATATTGATACATATAATAAATTATTCATTCTCAAAAAAAAAATTCATTATTATTATGCTAACTAAAAATCTGTAACTCTCGATCCATAACTCCAATCTCCGTGTTTCAAAGGATCCTGTTTAGGACCTCCTATCTCACCTGTTATAGGATTCTTTTCGCCTTCAAATTGTGGTGGTGGTTTCTCTCTTACATCTGGATGTGCTTGTAATTCCTCTTCTTCAATTGCCATCGTAGTGCTGGTAAATGATCCTTGATTTTTACGAACTAGTTCTTCGAATTCTTTTTGTTCTTTTGGATCACCTAAAGGAATTGGTCCTGGTCTTCTGAACGGTGGGTCTGCCGTATATGATCGAAAAAAATGACTTATTGTGCGCATTGTGGTCTGAGACGAAGAAAGAAGACGGCGGGTTGTTAAATTCATCTTTTTTTTTTATGTAATGAAAGAAAAAGTTTGCGGATTAATTCAATTTATAATTATTCAATCGTTCGGAAGTTATCGGATCTGCATTTATCGCAGATACCGGATTGTCCCGTTTAAATTCATATACACGTAATATCGATATACAAAATCTGCGGTAACCCTATTATTACTATGGAAAACAACGATGATGCAATACTCGCAAAGAAATTACAAGAAGAATATAAATTTATCAATGATGTCGATTCTTTAGCTTTGGCGCGTCAGCTACAAGAAGAAGGTTTGTTTTAGCTTCCAATAAGCACTTTTCAACCTTTAATCTTTTGTTTTTTTAGACTTGGGAAGTAACGAGAATCCGGACGATCCAAATCCTGATCTTCATAGTCTCTTTATTGCTTTTGATCAACAATATTTTTGGGGAAGTCTGAAAAGTGTTGAGGTTAGATGGTCAAATAAAATGACTTTGGTATGGGAATATTTATTTTATTCTGTTTAAAATTGTGAATTATACTCTGACTATGTATCAATGTTCGAAACTTAAATTAGTGTGCTGGACTATGTTGCTATCAAGCAGGTGGTTATTGTAGTATAAGGTTAAGCGAACCGTTGTTGAAATTTCGAACTCGTCAGGATATGATTGAGACATTGTTACATGAAATGATTCATGCCTATCTGTTTGTAACTAAAAATTGTAAAGATCATAGTATGTATTTTTAAATTATATTTTTGATCCACCTAATATTCTACCTTATACATATTTCTCAATTAAAACTGTCATTTTCACTAAGATGCACACGGTCCTGAATTTCTTAAACACATGGAACGCATAAATACTGCTGCTGGAACAAAAATAACTGTATATCATAATTTTCGTGATGAAGTTAATTACTACCGGACACATGTCTGGAAATGTGATGCACGTATTTTTATTACTACGTATGATTATTATGCATCTATTTTTTTGTCGTGGCTGATGAATCTCGATTTGAAAATCTATATGACCCCTAGCAGAATTTTAGGGTTAGTGCTGGTCGGAATTATGTTGATGCCGGCCGGGTTTTTTAATTGATTAATTTGACTCGAATCAAGTTTAACTTGACCCATAACATATACACTTTATCAATTCTAAAAAAAAAACGGACAAACCCCCCCAAAACATTTTAAAATTTCATATCAGCCGCGACAATTATTATTATTATTTTTAATTTTCTCTAAATCTTATGTTTTATTAGGGTCCATGCCAATATAAGCCGCCTTATTTTGGAATTGTGCAACGGGCGATGAATAGGTAATAATTCAATTTCTTTAAATTAATTTAATTTATAAATATACTATTTTTTATCTCGTATTATATTCGCTTCATAGGCCTCCACAGCCTGCTGATAGCTGGTGGGAAAAACATAGACAATCATGTGGTGGTAAATATCATAAGATTGCTGAGCCTCAAAAAGAGGAAAAGAAACAAGTATCGAAAAATCGAAAACGTAAACTCGAAAATGATAATGCTAGTGGTAGTAATGCTTCTTTGGATAAATGGTTTTGTAAAAGTTCTGACAAAGAGGTGTCCCAAACTTATAAGTTCAAAAAACGTTGCACCGATGTTGATAATGGACACAATACTTCTCAGAATCTTAATCAACCGATTAACCTTGAGAATGACTCTAATGAAAAAGGAAAATCTTTGAATACTGTTCAATGCCCGATCTGTGGTGATAATACGATAGATAATTCAACAATTAATGATCATATCGATTTATGTATTTGGGCGTCTGAAAACGGCGAAAAATTGTCAATTATGTAAATTTAATACTGTTGAATGAATATTATGCATATATATTTCATTTTACACATCTAATCAATTCTTGTAAAATAATGTATTAAAAATCAAAGTTAATAAAAATTAATATGTAAATCAAACTATAATCATTAATATTTTTATTCTATCAATGATATAATTTTGCCATCTTCTGTCGTCAAATTGAATTCCACAATATTCCATTTCCCTCCATCCTTTAATGATCGAACGGAATGAAATTTCACAATACCCTTTCCTATTTTTTTTTTTTGGATGAATATGTTATTCCATAATCAATGGATTTTTGACCAATAAAAAAAAAAAATTTCTCTTACCATCACTTCCTTCTACCCAATATTTAAAATCTACAATTCCTTTCAATTGATTAATATTCCCTGAAATCCATGGAAATTTCCGTTGTGAAGGAAAAGGCCACCATTGAGGTGGTGCAAAATTAATATTTCTTCCCAAATGTTGAATGGCTTTTGGATGATTTTTTACATTAAATAGACTTTCTTTAACTGAACTACTATTTATACGTTGATGATTAAATGATATTGCGATAGCAGTAGCCCAAATTGAAATTCCAATTATGCCATAAGCGATATAACGTGGAGTCTTTGATGATATCTCAGGAAGTGGTCGAATTTTAATTTTTGTCGTTTGATTTAGTTTTTTTTTCGTGGTAACTGTTAATGGTGTAGTAACTGGAGTTGAAAAGAAACGATAATTATTTAAACAAATTGAATATAACCTATTTATGTTTATCGGTTTGAATTGAATTGATGGTGTGATGCCATTATATGACGAAGTTAATATCTTAAATTTTTGAAAGTTAAAATGCGAAAGAATTTGTAACTTTTGATTCATTTTTTAATGATTGTCTTTATCTATCTGATATTAAATATATGTCGCATCTGAAGTAGTGATTTATCTAAAGTAGCCACTTTATAATATCTAAAGTAGCGCTTTGGCTAAAATTATAACTTAATGCATGCATGAAGATCTAATTTCAGGGGCTTAATTTTAGCCAGGCGCTACTTTAGATTAGGGATGTTAAAAGTCCGGTCCGGTCCAGTCCTTAAAAATTTCTTGTGTGAGTTGACTGTGTTAGTCAACAAGGCTAAATGACGGGTAACCACACACAGAATCACATGCTCCCCTCATGCACCAGGCTGCACAAACCATCATGCCCCAGAAATGTTACACGATACCTCACCTACCAATCGACACACCGACACCGCAACTCGAGCCACTTCATCGACATGGCACAGGAACAAGCCACCTAAACATTCACCATAAATACCAACCCCAGCTCAGTCGAACTCTATTCTGCAAACTTCAAAAATCTTGCAAAAATTATTATGAGCAAATCGACAGATAAATCTACCTCTGCTAATGCATCTATTAGCAACTCAACTATTAGCACTAACTTTGCCAACATTGATTCAAATATAAAAGCATATATAGAGGTTGCATGTTAAGCCTTATCTAATGTGATAATCAGAACCATCAAATTTTATATTGACCAATCAAATGTTACACAGATAGAATCAATCAGAAAATTAAATGAATGATTAAACTCTTGCATCAATTAAAAACAGAGTTTTAATTCTTTAATCAGATCACAAACTTAAGATAGTGCAATACTTTTAATCAGAATAATCAAAATTTTAGTAATCAAAATCAGCAACATTTTAACTCTCAGATCTAGCATAGCATTAACAACTAAAACTAGTAATACTTCAACTTTTAGATCTAGCATATTGTTAATAACCAAAACCAGTAACATATTAAAAGTTCAGACCACCAACCCAATATAGCAAATCATAATTATGATTTTGACTTTACAGATTTCTAATATACTAGCAAGCAAAATTGCAATATTTCAAATTATTAAGATAATTGTTCTTTAATTTCATTACTAAATAACTTTCTGATCAATAATGATTTCATCAACCAACAAAGTAAACAAGCACATCAACATATTAATTTTTTAATAAAATTTAATTAAAATAATTTTTAAAATATTTATTTTTTAAGTATATAGAAAATTTTTCATCTGTTTATAATTTCTGCAACTTTTTAGCTACTCAAATTGAACAAATTTATTTGTGATAAGTTTTTAATTAATCAGATGACCAGAAACTAATTGAAATAATGTTTAATAAATCAAGCCTACTAATATGTTTGTAAAAGGTTATTGTTATAGATTTCTATATAGACCTTTATGACTTTGTATTTAATAATATAAAATTATATTTAAAAAATAATTACAAAGATCAAACCTTATTAATATCTGAAGAAGGATTAATTGTAATTTACAAGTATACTGTATTCAAAGATTTACTAATATTACTGAATGACTTCTAGTATATAAAACATACATTGAAGTTATACTAATTATTTATGACATCAAAAAGCAAGAATTGAATATATATTATAATTACATTAATATTTTTTGCATAAAACATAAATTATCTGCAATTTTTGTATATAACAAAAACCAAAGCTACATTTAATCACTAACCATAATATTATCTTTCTTGAACAAAACATTGAAGTTGAAAAAGAAAATTTTAATATAACTACTATAAAAAAATACTGTATTAACAATAACATATGACATCTTAGACAAGATATTTATAACATAATAACAAACAAATTTGTATAAACTAGAATAAATAAGAATGTTCTAAAAAAGCCAATTGCTATAAAGTGTATGCATGTTTAATTTGTAAAAAGATCAATTATTCAGAAAAAAGATGCTTCTATCTCAAACTACAACAAACAGATACAATGAACCCACAAATTAGAATTATAATAGAGGGTAATAACATAATGAAGATTATGCAACATTATTTGCAAAGTATATAAATAAATAAATACATAAAAAACCTCTATTAACAAAAACAATAGGCAATAAATATCTTAATTTTAATAAATATAAAGTACTTAAATAGAAATATAAATCTTTAAATAAGACAAAATTAATAATTATATAAACAAACAAATTATAAAAAAAAAACAATATATATATATATATATAAATACAGAAATATATATATATTTTTTTTAAAAAAAAAAAAATTACACAAAATAATTAATATATAATATATATACATTATTCATTGCTAACTAGTCTTTCACATTATATAGAAAAAAGGTTATAGCATTCTGTATATAATTTCAAACACATATCATAATTTAAATTATCATACAATATTACAACAAATAAGACCTCAACTTTACAATCAATAGATAAAATAATTATAGCCATTTCTTTACCAAACATATCTTTAACTAAAACAGAACTAAGACTGCTAATATAATTAAATCTATAGCCTTCAATATACAAACATCTATTAACATTTTAGCATTTTAGTATCTTACAAGACATCATCCTAATCGATCATTTATTAATTGTCTAATTAATGCAATTACACATGGCTTCAGATTTAACTTTAGAAATCATTGCACAAAAATCATACAAGATAATCTTTAATCTATTAGTCTGGCTTCTAAAACATTCAGCAATTATATAAGAGGGACTTTTAAGCAAATGAGTTTGTAATCCATTTTATAAAAACTATCCTTTATATAATATTTTTCAGGTTAACCTATATGATCTAGTTAAGAAAAAAGACATATTTAAAATGTTACTGAATTATATCTTATTTATTATCTTTTTCTAAAAATGTATAAATAAAAGAATTGATAAATTAGAATTTGCTACAAAATATGAAATAATAACTCACACTATTTACTAGATTAACTACTATGAAAAAGGGTGCATTTTATCAAAAATTGATATTAAAAATACCTATTACATACTTCTAATTTATTCAGTGATCAGATCTTACAAGGCTTTCATTATAAAGATCATATATATTTCAAAAAAATTCTTGTTTTTGGTAATCATGCTTCTGGTAGTATATTTTGCTACTTTGCTAATTCTATCATATGAATTGCATCTAACAAAAAATTTCAGCAATATATATGTTCTTGTAGAGTTCACTTAAACCCTAGCATCTGCTTTATAGCATAACTTTAGTACTTTAGTATATTCCTGAATTTTATCAGACTCCTAATTCAGATAGCTTATATAGAACTATGATTAGTCCATCAGTATATTAGGTTAGCTCAATATCTTTTTTCTCTAATTTATTTTAGCAGCCTGGTTGATAGTACTTCTGAGACTCCTAACTCAAAGATTCTTGCCTATTCAGTTACTAAGACCTGGGTATCTATTTCACTAGGCTAGCCTTTACAGTAGCACCATTGAAGATATAGTTATCTTTCTATCCAAGTCTTTCCAAATGAACTTCTTGTTACTCAATTTCAATGAATTTACACAGTTACAAAGACTTATCTAGTATTTGCACTATCTGATTTGTTGGTTTGCATTTCTATATATAACTTCAACATTGCACAAATGTTTCATAATCTGCCAGTCATACTGGTGTGATCACTATTATAGATATTTTAATCCAATTATTAGTAACAGTTGTTATAATACAAATACATACTACAATAGTTTACTACTTTTAAGAACATTACTACAAGTCACTCTTATTAACACACTCTATATAATTTACTATACAGATGATTTTTTGATTATTACATTATTAAATAGGTCACATAAACTAAAGCAATTTTATATATATCTTAAATACTATAAATATACTCTTTAAAAAAACCAAAATGGAAGGCTCTAGCACAATAGTTACTTTTCTGAGTATAATATTAAATACCTTTACTATAATTGCTTCTATCTTATTACAAAAATATAAAAAGTTAATCAACTTTTTAAGCTAATAGTTAACCAAAAAATAATGTTTCTTTAAAAGTTTTTAATTACTAGTCATTTTACTAATATAAGCATACCAAATAATTTTACAAAAATATCTTTATGTTTAATACTTAATAAATATACAAGATGCTTAAAGCAACTCTAAATATCATATAAGGTTAATAAGACCAATAATATTAGACATATGAGAGAAAGTTAATAAAAAAGAGACAAATTTTTTCTAAATAAAAGTTTTCTTAACTTTAAGCTTAAATATCTCAACAACTATTTTATTAAATTTGATAATTTTTTATTTATTTTAATTCTATATAATTTCAAAATTAAAATAAAAAAATTTTTAGCAGATTTAATTAAATAGTTGTTGAGTTATTTAAATTTAAAAATTAAAAAAATTTTACTAAAAATGATTTGTCTTTTTTTTATTAAATCTCCTCTATATATTGGTAAATGTCAATGATACAGATATGGTTAGATATTCAACTACTTCAAAATCAGGATTGGTGCCAACCATATATCTTAAACCTATTTACAGATACATCTAACATTAGCAGAAGTGCAACATATCAGAACTACTTTACAGTTTTTAATTAGTCTAAATTTATAGACCTCACAATGTTAAGCATTTAACTATGTAAACTACTTATAACTTCTATTGCAACTTAGACCTTCTTATTTATGTAAAAAAGAAAAAAACTAATTATCTAAACTAACAATTTGTTCAATACTAAAGTTTACTATACAAAATACTGCAAAAACTCAGATATCAACAACATTATCACAAAAATATATAAAACTCAAATTCACTAAATTTTTTCTGTAAAACTCAAACATATATCTAAGACAAAAAACATTGATGCAGACTTATTATTACATAATAAATATCATGAATTTATTACAAATAATCTTCTGACATGCTACTTTCAACTAAGCATTTCTGACTAATTTACAAGCCTAATTTCTTCTTAAACAATAAACATTATCCTACTAGTTTCTAATTCAAAATTCAATAGTCCTCACATACTAATAACAATAATTACAAAACTACAATATTAATAAA